GTCAGCCAGGGCCATCTCCCTCGATCACAGATCCACAAAGGCCTTTGTTCTGACCATTTATTGGGAACTTTCTGCTAAGCACTGAGGGAGGGAAGAAGAAAGGAGGCATGGAGGCCTCTCCCCTTCCCCCATCCCTACAACCTGCAAGTCCCCAGATGTCCTGCTTCCCAGTGCAGGCTGGGCCCCCAGTCAGTCGAACTTGGCCACTGACTGATTCTGAGGAAAAAGGGAAGGAAGAGAGGTGGGTCCTGGAGTCCAGAGGCCCAGGAGTGGAGCTGACGTGAGGCATGCAGATGTCAGGACAGGCCCAGGACAACAGGTCCCAGGGGTCCAGGGCCCCTGAGCTCCAGGAAACAATGATGACCCTGGTGGCTGATAAGGATGAGTCCTCAGCTCAAGGCAGGCTGGCCTGGGAGCCTGGGCTTCTGTGGCTGGTTGGGGCCGATGTACTGGAGAGGCACGTGGGTGGGGGCCGTGATCCGGTCGGTGCCTAGGTAGGGCTGGAGGGCAGGGGGCACGAGGACTGAGCCGTCCTGGGGACAGAGCAGACAGGCCTCAGGATGCTGCTGCTGCGCCAGCCCTCGACCCTCTGCTCTGGGTGTGATCCTTCGACCCCCTCACCTTTTGCTGATTGCTCTCCAGGAGGGCGATGAGGAGGCGGGGGACAGCACAGGCTGTGGCATTCACCTGGGAGAGACGCAGGCTCAGACGGAGGCCCCAGGGAGGGGCTGAGGCGGTGAGGGTCTAGGAGTGGAGGCACAGGCGTGCAGGTACTCACCGTGTGGGCAAACTGCAGCTCCCCGGCCTCCGTCTGGAACATGATGTGGAGGCGGCGGCTCTGGAAGTCTGTGCAGTTGGAAGCACTGGTGACCTGTGAGGAGGCGGGTGGGCTGAGAGGATCAGCTGTGGGGGACGGCGTCATCCTCTTTCCGCGCTGCGTCCCCACGGGGGCAGGGGCTCACCTCGCCAAAGCGGCCACGGCCTGGCATCCAAGCCTCAATGTCGAACTTGCGGTAGGCAGGAAGGCCCAGTTCCTGGGTGGGCATGTCCAGGACCCTGTAGCCATGGTGAAAGACAAGGTCAGCGAGTGAGAAGAGGAGGAGGAGGAAAAAAAATGGAGGCTGATGGACGAGAAGGCAGCCAAAATACTGGGCAAAGGAGGAGACGGTGGCACAGGGGACACCTCCGAGAGGCAGGAGGTGGTGATGGAGAGAGTGGTACAGGAGGAGGAGGTGGAAAAGGAGTTGATGGGGGAGGAGGCAGGAGGGGAGAAAGGCCATGTGGCTGCATCTCCAGGCTGCTCACCATGGCCATTCCCACCATCTATAACCCAGATTTTTGTAATGGGTCAGAAAAAAGTCTGCATTTCTCAGCGTCTTTTAAAAGCTACATGTGACTATGAGAGAGGGAGTAGGCTTGCCACATCCAGGTCACCCCTTAAAGGGAAGGAGTGTGCCCTCCTCACCTTCCCACTGGGTGGTGAGAAGTCATCTTGGACCATGTGGATGAGGCGACACCCTAGGGACTGGGAGCAACAGGAGGGGAGGGACCTCCGTCTAGACCCCGGAGTGCCCTGTGCCGCTTATGCTACAGTTCCAATCCCACAATCCTGTACAGGACTTCAGAGATTGACAGGTAGACGGCCTATATGTAATCTTAACACAGGGAAAAGGGGGCAGGGAGGAAAGGGGGGAGCACTGTCGTCCCCTCTGTACCGGAAGTGCAAGCCCAGCTCCGTCAAGATCTCCATCTGAAGGGACAGGAATTCCTCCAGCAACTGCGAGCTCTGCTCCAGTCCAGGGCCTGTTACCCCAAACATCTCCACCTGGAACAGGGCGGGGAGCATAGGAGTCAGGAAGCCCTGGGCTGTTGGGGTGACCCCCCTCAAAGTCCCAGCTACAGCAACCTTGGTGAAGTGGTGCACTCGATACAGCCCCCACGGCTCCTTCCCCGTGTGTGTTTCCGCCCGGTAGCAGGTACTGGAACAAACCATCCTGGGGGAGCAGGGGAGGTGGGGTCGGTCAAGGAGGGGAGAGGGAATGTCACAGGTGGGGACAAGGTCTAAAGGAACTGGGCATCACCTGATTGGCAGGTCCCTGAAGGCCACGGAGTGGTCCATGAAGTAGCCTGGGAGAAGAGGGGGACAGGATGAGTCAGCCAGGGCCACCCTCCGTCCAAAGGAAACCTTTGTGAGAATTAGAAAAGGTCTCCCCTCGGGCAGACATGACCTCACGTCAGGACCTGCGGCTGGATCCTCACTGTACTGTTGTACAGTGAACAACCTGCACAACTGTACATGGGGGGCAGGCAGCCGCACCCCCCAGGGTGCTCCTGGTTGGTTGTCCCCCTATAATCCCTTCTGCTCTGAGGACATGAGGGGTCCTGACAAGCCCTGGCTCCTAGGCAGGTGCTCACCTGCAAGCCCCACCTCTGCTGTCCCAGCTAGGTTGAGGTCTTCAAAGCGGGAGGGGTCGATGTTGTAAATTTGGGATGGGTTGGCATTTGGCGTCATCCCACAGCCTTCCTGGAGAGGTGGCCAAGCACAGAGGTCAGAGGACAGTGTGTCCTTCATTTTGCAGTCACAACCCCTCCTCCTTCCCTGGAAGAATGTGGAATCACTCTGGCCCCCCTGTTATGGCCTGATCCCCTCAAGCCGGCCCCAGGGAGGCTTCCTTGGGGCAGGTGGGCTAGTGTCCCGACTCACAAACACAGCTCCTCGGAGAAGGTCTGGCACCGTCATGGGGGTGAAGCCCTGTGAGGGGGAGGGAAAGGGGTGAGGAGCACAGCCAGGACCACCAGACCCCCAGCTCAGGCCGGGAGGAGAGACACCACAGGGTGGGCCAATGGCGCCTCCTCGTCCATTCCACTTCGGAGGAAATCGAGGGAGGTCCGAGCGGTGGGCTTAGGCTGGTGTCCCTGTCACTGGGGCCCTCTTCCGGCACTTCACGGTTTCCTCACTCAGATCATACCACCCAGGGCGGCCGCAAGTGTAGTTCGAAAGTACAGATCTGACCATGTCCCTCCCGTGGCTCCCCAAGGAGCGTCCAAGTCCCTCAGCAAGGCTGACGCCCCGTGCATTCAGCCTCTGCGACTTCTCCATTTACCACAGATGCCACGTTTCCCCAACACTCCCTTCACTCCAAAGGCAGGTGGTGAGGAGCAGCGGTTAAAAGTGTGGGCTGGAGCCTCGAGCCTACACACTAGCCGTGAGGCCTCGGGTTACTTACTCCCCTCCCAGGCCTCAATTTCTCCGTCTCTAAGGTGGGGATAATACTAGCAGCCACCTCATAACGTTGCCATGAGAATTAAATGTGTCAATGATATATGTAAAGCTCTGAAAACAGTGACTGGAACAGAGGTCACAACCCCTTCCTTCTGCCTTGAGCCTTCTGAGCTCAGCTTCAATGCTGCCCCCTCCAGGCAGACCTCCCACCCTGGCTCCTACCCGATGGACGAGCTTGTTGAGTGTGAAGTTGACCAGGCCGTGCTGCAGGAGGGCCCCAGCCCCGCGCAGGTAATAGGAGCGGTGGCCGGACACGTGGGACAGACGCCTGGGAGACAGATGGGAAGACAGGCGAGGGCATGTGGGCCAGGGCTGCACCCCAGAGCAGAGGCCCAGCTGCCAGGCGGGGGACTGGGCATCAAACATTCATGCTGGGAGGAGCCCTGGCAGTTCCAGGTCCCGAGCAGAGCCCCGTGCTGAGCCCCGCGAGGCAGAGCCGGCTGCCAGCTGCCGAGGTGGGGAGGGCTGGGCGGAAGGGGCTGGGAGGCGGCTCACTTCTGCCGGATGACGTCGAGTTTCTCGGCGATTTCCAGGTGGCCTCGGGGTTGGAAGGAGAAAGCTGGATGTGGATGAAAAGAATGGGGTCTAAGCGGGAGAGAGAGCCAGGGAGCAGCGGCGGAAAGACAGGATTAGAGACAGTGGGAAGAAGAAAAGGAGAAAGAGAAAGAGAGAGAGGAGGCAAGAGAAGAGAGAGACACAGAAAAGCAGAGAGGACACGATGGAGGCAGAGATGAGAACAGGTAGAGACGGGACGGCAGAGGAGGAAAAGGGGAGGAGAGAGGGAAAGAATGGAAATACTGGGAGGAGGAGAGACAGACTGAGAGGGAGACACACAGAGAGCTGCGGAGGAGAAGCCCTGAGAGACTGGCCAGAGAGAGAGACAGAAGGACAGACACACACGTGGACACGTACATGGCGGGGATGGGGTGAGCAGGCCGGATGGGGTGAGGGGAGAGAGAAGGGAAACAGAACCGCCCTGCACACACGGCTGGGGCCCAGCCAGCGCAGGAAGATGGGGCCGCCGCCCGAGGCGCCTGGGGTTGGACCAGCGCTGGCGCGGTCCCAGACCCCAGGACCCCCACCTCCCGCCTAGGGTCCCTGGGCCCGAGGATGGCCCACCTGGCTTGTTTCCGATCACGTGGAGCACTCGGGCCTGGCTCTCGTCCCCAACGGGCTGCAGAGACAGCAGGTGTCACTGGAGAGGTGGCACTGGGTGGCCCCTGCCCCGCCCCCCCGCCACTGCCCTGCATGGCGCTCACCACGTCTGGGTGGGTCTGGTTGGGCAGCCTCAGCGCTCGCAGGTAGAACTGCTCCTCGAGCCTGGCCTCCCTGGGGTACAGGAGCACGAGCCGCTTCCGGATCTCCCGGCCACGCGCCCGCAGAGTCTGATACTGGGGGTCCTGGGGTCGGGGCGAGCAGGGTCAGCCCACAGCAGGGTGAGGGGTCCCTCGACCAGCATGACCTGGACCCCTGCCAGCAGAACCTCTGTGGTAGACACTTGTTGCCTCCTCTTTTGGCTCAACATCCCGAATTTCCTTTCGGGAACCTCCCCTCACCACTACATGGCACGTCCATGGGGACACGACTCAGCCCTGGATTACTGGAACATTCCATGGCCTTGGCCACAGCGACTGGCCAAAGACAAGCACATGACACAAGCTGAACTCATGAGACTTGGACCCTGAACGATGGCTGGAGCTCCCAGGGACATGGTCTCTTTGCACCGACCCTGCCTCCCCATTCCCGGGGGGAGAAAGCCGGTCTGGGAATAAGAGAGAAGGACCAAATACGGAGCCAGGACCAGAATCCAACTGCACCTGAAGATTTTTAATTTCAGAATCAAGAGCCCAGTTTTCTTTTTTTCTTAACCTTGTTTGAGCTGTCACACACCATGGAGGCGTGTGACTGATACGGTGTCCGCGGCCCACCCCCATGGGGACAGACATCCCCTCCCTTAGTACCTGCTGCACTTGACTGCCGTCCTGGTTCACCTGGTGGGAGAGACAGGGTGATTAGGCTGACGAAGCTGGGGGTGGGGAGGAGGTAGAAAAGGGGGTGAGAGGTCAAACAGGTCCAGGGCATCTGAATGCCCTGCTGCGCCAGTGCCTGGCTGGGTCCCTCCTTGACTGTGCCTCAGTTTCCCTGTCAGTGAAGCTGGGAGGAGGCAAAGATAACATAACACCACGCCGGCAGCCCTGTTTATCGGGTGCTGCCTTGTGCCCGGTTCCACACAGGGGGCTCTCGCACGGTCCTATTTCTTCATAACCCGCTCCACGAGGTTGGCGTCAACATGACCTTGTTTCGTAGCTAAGAAAGCTGGGGCTCGGACAGGCAGCCTGTGAGCGTGTTTGGAGACCTGCAGCCAAGTCCCTTTGACACGCTGAGCCTTCTACACCTTGGGCAGCCGATGGAGTCAGACAGACCAGGGCCTGGGTGCTGGACGCTGACCAGCTGTGTGCCTTCCCCGCCCTGAGCCCCAGTGTCCCCGTCTGTGACATGGGGTGATCACGGGGCCTGTGGAGCATGGCTTCCTTAGGGAGAGGCATTAGCAACTCACCGAACATTAACTGAGATCGACTGTGTTGTGTTTGTTGGCTGCCCCTGTGACGTGTGTAGCCGGGTCTGGCACACACGGTGGGTCCCTGGGAGATGGAATCGGTGTCACGAGAGGCCCCGAGCAGAGTGGTAGAAAGCAGCCCGAATGCCTGCATGCGAGTCCTGCCTCTCCCACTTCCTGGCTGTGGGAGTTGGGCATGTTTTAGCCTCCTGACACCTGTGTCCTCAGCTGTAGAACTGGGTTTGTATTGTCCCTGTCTCAGGGTTGTCGTGAGGATTAAGAGTAAGGGAAGCATCTAGAACAGTGCCTGGCACACGGTGATTGCTATATGAACATCTCTATGATTTTTATGATTATTTTTCAGCCCCCTGTGGCAGATGCTGTTGGCTAACTCCTCTCACTTGCCCTCCTTCCTCCTTTCCCACAGACCCTTGACTCGGTTTCCCTTCTGGGTAGCCTGTAGTTCAGGGAACATGGGCCCATGAGACTTGAGGGGACTCTGCTGGACGCTGCAGGAAAGGTCTCCCTGCTCTCGGAAAAGGCACTCAAGCCAGAGAAATCCCGTTTTCTGCCTCTGGCAGAGTCACACAAAGAGATGCTGTACTACAGCAGATATCCTGGAACTGTGAGAGGGGAAACTGAGGTCAAATCGCCTCGCTGAAGTCACAGGTGGAGACAGAGAGGGACAGAACCTGGGCTGGGGATGCTGGGGAGCTGCTAATTCTTCAGCCCCAGGGACAACTGGCCCTGGACCACTTGTGGTGTGAGGTAGTGAATGTCCACGTCCGCCATGTTCCCGTTACCAGCTGCCAGAGCCAACCCACTGAGGACCCGCATGCTCACCAGCAGGGCCCGCACAGCCTCGGCCACGGCCCCCTTCTCCTCTTCCAGGCTCCGGATCTGCTCCCGCAGCTGCCTCAGCTCCTGCCACGTCGTGATCTGGGGGTGGACAGAGCAGGAAAGGATATGAAGCGGCCACTGTCCTTTGCCTCTTCTGGCTGGAGGCTCATCCCACCAGCCACCTGGACCAGCGGTGGCGAGGCAGAGACCCCTCGCTGTCCCCTGGTTGCCAGACCCCGCTCCTTCTCCTCAGTCCTAAGGCCCCCTGACGTTTCTCTTTCTCAGTCCCTTGGACTGGACAACGGACCCAGAGGAGAGCTGAACAGGACAACATCCTAGGGGATGCAGAGCACGAAGATGAAATGACCTGAGTGGGCTCTGAAGGACACGGAGCTGAAGCCCTCACAAGCACTTGCCTTTCTGTTCCCAAATGACAGCGAAACGGCCTCTAGCCTAGGGCCTGTCACAGCAACTAGCCCCGCACTCCGAAACACGGGGGTCCAGAGCCGCGAGAGAGACCAGCACCCCAGCATCATTTCTTGGACACACCTACTGTCGTGGAGGCCCTCTGTGAGCACCCTCTGTGAGTCCGGATCCCTGGGCAAACCCCTCTGTCCCCTCTGGGTGCAGTTTCCCTTGGGCAAAATGGTACAGACACTGTCTCACCGCCCCAGGGTGGTGGGGGAGGGAGGTGGCCACAGGGTGGGCTGCTACTCGCTTGGCAGCTGCCCTGGACGGACCCTGGACACGTCACGCTCACCATGTGCAAAATCGACTCTAGGAAAAGTATCTCCCTCCAAGTCTGCTCCTCCACCTTAGGGACAATCCCACCCACTCCCACCCACAACCCAGAGCCCTGGGCCTCCTCCTGGATGCCACCCCAGCCCTGTGGCCAGGCACCACGTTCTGTCCTTTCTGCCTCGTGAACATCCATCAGGTCTGTGCTTCGCCCACCCCACCCATTGTGCCCATTTCCGACTCCATCATTTCCCACAAGGATCCCTGTCTGGGCCTCCCAGCCGTCAGGCTCGCCCCCTCCAGTCTGGTCAGAGTTCTTACACAATCCCTCTCCTGCCAGAAAGCACCCACAGGTCCCCAGTCCCCTAGGAACAAGTCACATCCCTTGCTATTGCCTGCAAAGCTATATGCCACATCCTTCTTCACACCCACCATTCTACTTTCTATGAATTTGACTACTCTAAGTACCTCATGTAAGTGGAATCATATAGTATTTGCTTTTTTTGTGACTGGCTCTTTTCACTTAGCATAATGTCCTTGAGGTTTATCCATGATGTAGCACGTGTCAGTATTTCCTTCCTTTTTAAAGCTGAGTAATATTTGTGTGTGTGTGTGTGTGTGTGTGTGTACGTACTACCTTCTGTTAATCCATCCATCTGTTGAAGTACCTCATGTAAGTGGAATCATATAGTATTTGCTTTTTTTGTGACTGGCTCTTTTCACTTAGCATAATGTCCTTGAGGTTTATCCATGATGTAGCACGTGTCAGTATTTCCTTCCTTTTTAAAGCTGAGTAATATGTGTGTGTGTGTGTGTGTGTGTGTGTACACGTACTACCTTCTGTTAATCCATCCATCTGTTAGTGGACACTTGGGTTGTTTCCACCTTTTGGATGTTGTGAATAATGCTGCCATGAACATGCACGCACAGAAATCTGTTTCAGGTCCCTGCTTTCAGTTCTTTTGGGTACATACCCAGAAGTGCAATTGCCAGGTCACATGGAAACTTTAATTTGTCGAGGAACTGCCAGACTGTTTTTCCACAGCCACCGAACATTTATTTACATTCCCTTTAGCAACGCAGAGGGTTTTTAAGTTCTCCACATCCTTGCCAACACTTGATAGTTTTTGTTTTTTTGATAACTGCCATTCTAATGGGTGTCTAAGCCAGCATGTTTAAAATTAAACAGACTGTAACAAAACATAATGTATTACACAGAGTAAGAGCAAGAATTGTTAATGAAACTTTGGTTTCAATCTGGGGTGTGTGTACTGGGTCAGGACGTGAAATACACTTCTTACCCTTGGCCACGAAGTTTGAAAAATGCTACTAAAGGGTGTGAAACTCTAAATTACCTTCATTTCATCCTACATCTAGGCTTTAGTAAGTGCTGGTCCCTCTACTTGGGATGCTCCTCTCCCGTTCCCCTGGCTAACCTTACAAACTCCACAGATGTTTGCCTAACACCACCTCCACCTCGTGAGAAGCACTCCCAGTACTGTGTGTTCTCTGTTTTCTTTGTAGTATTACCGGAGATTATGTTTTTAATTGTATGTTAAACATCGCTCTTTCACTAGACTGTGAACTCAGATTACCTTGCTCATGAGTAAGCACAGCACTGGTAGTTAAGGCTGCATTCTGGGGCCAGACAACATAGGTTCAAATTCTCACTCTGGAACTTAACCAGCTGCAGGATCTTGGGCAAGTTGATTAACTTCTCTGAGCCTTAGTTTCCCCTCTGATAAAATGGGGACAATATTGGCACCTATCTCACAGGGTTGTTGCAAAACTTAAGTGAAGCTAATACGTATAAAGCACTTAGAACAGGATAGTAAGGGAACCCACGAGAGGGAGGGGAGGATTTGGGGTCCCCACCATCCTCAGCACCCCAGCAGGGCCTGGAAGTATAGTGACCCGGGTTCTAGTTCCTCAAAAGGTAGTATTATATAAGTGCTAGGTATTTTATAATTATTCACCACTTTATTCTCAACAGCTGGAATAGTAGGTACTCTCTAAATATCTGGTTAAATAACCTTATTTAACTGCCTACTTCGTGTAGGTCAGGTGCAGGACTCCATCGCTCACCAAAAGCCAAGAACCAACCCCATTTCTCCTCCCCGTCCCCCCAACCCCCGACCCGCCTAATTCCCATCCCTGTCTCCCCTTTTCCTTTGGATATGGACTCAGAATAAGTCTGGCATGATGTCACGGGACATTTGCACAAAGTTCCTAGCGCAGTCGGTACCCAGCAGGCTTTATGGAACAGGCGCATAATAGGTGTCTAGACAGCAGGCCTTAGCACCCGGTGGACAACCAGCGCTTCCGTGGGAAGCAAGCACAACACGCTCGCTACACTTGGGCAGGAACTAAAATTCCGGCCAGGAGTCCGCCCCCTGCTGGAGAGTATCTAGCAGGCCTACTTCGTCCGTAAAGCCAACAGCCAATAGGCAAAGCGCCCCGGCGGACGGCTGCCCCGCGCAAGCGTACTCACGATCGCCGGCAGGTCTTCCGGCCGCAGCTCCCCTTTGCGGAGCTCGAGGGTACGCGCGGCCTCTTCAGGGCATGCGCACAGCGGCTCCATGTCCAGCTGAGGGAGCGCGCTGTAGCCCTCGCGTGCATGCTCGTACAGGAGGTTCCGGTGTCCTTTCTCCGTCGCGAAACTTCTTCTTGGGTTCTGGTTGCAGACGCAGCCTCCCCGAGGCAGGAGCCCCTGGCAGGCCACCAAGGGCCGCAAGCGCCGCGCGATGGACGCAGCCATCTTGGACGAGGGACAAGGAGCCACGCACTTTTCGTCCCGCCCACTCCGCGTGTAGACCAATTGCAAAGCAACCGTCCTGCTCGGGACGAGCCAATCAAGACCTTAGAAGGGGCGAGCGCCTCCCGTATCTCAAAAAAATTTTAAGTGACAAAAGTTGACCGAGGTTGATTCTGTTGTGGCCCAATTGCCATCTATGTCCCGCCCCTTCGGAGTCCGCGAGAGGCAGAACCAGCCAATCCCTGCGGTGCTAACCCCCGGCAGTGGCTGAAGCTGGATTTAGCGTGTCTGCGGATCCTGCTGGGGTCGGTGAGGTCGATGGAGTCCTGGGGTCTTCCAAACTTCCCCAGCCCTCTGCTCAGTTTTCACTTTCCTCCAGTATGCGAGAGGGGGCGGTTGGGTTCCCGAGAGTCTACTCAGAGGAAATTTCTTAGATTCAACCAGAAGACCCCGAGAGCGGGAATGGAGAATTTGGACCCTCGCCCTTCTGCGGCCTTTTTCCCCTTCTCTTTTCTGAGTCTCTTATCCCTTCAGGGACGCTGCAGGCGGCGGGATGTCCTGGTCCGGCTTTCTCCGTAGCCTCAACACGTCCCTAAGTTATGGTAAGTGGGGGCCTTGGGCCGCAGAAACGAAGCTGGATGAAGGTTATCTCCTCTGGGACTTGTGTGCCTCGACCGCAGCCCCGAGGGAATCAGGGTTTTAAATCAGGGTTGGTTACGCGCTGTGCTTTGGCGGAGCTCGGGCTGCAGTAGCAAGATGTGAGAAGTTGTTGGGTTGGGGCCACTACACAGCAGGCGAGTACCAGGAGTTGGAGTCAATTATTTATTTCTTCAGCGAATGCCGCACTTACTAAATGCCTTCCGTAGGTGAGACATCCAAGCAAGGCGTTTAAGTCATTCATTCAGCTGATATTTTTCAAGAGTTTTGTAAATGTCAGGTAGTGAGAGTGACGCTTTATTTATGAACGGATTCATTTAATAAATATAAAATGCTTCTCATGGGCCATGCCCTTTGTGAAGTATTTCATTCACTTATTCACTCTGTAAACCTTTATGGAGCACCTTCTGTTTGCCACTCACCAAGGATCACAAGGCTTGGGCAAATCAGGCCTGCACCCTGCCTGGGGAATCTGGGTGGCTTGACATGCAGATCTCATGGTAGTCTCTTCTAGAAATATCTCATCCTGTTTGAGGATCCTTCTCTAACTTGAGATATGAGGACATATGGAAAGACACAGTAAGGCCAGGATCTGCCCTGGATATGGAGGGAAGTGTGAAGTTTAAGTGTGAAAGGACGTCTGTGCTTATGATAAAAAGGATGGACCTCAAAGCTCTGGACTGGGAGCTTCAAGAGAGTGTGGCTCAGTCACCACTGTGGCTCCACTGTTGGGACCAGGGCACATTAGGTGCTCAATGAATGTTTGTTGAAGTGAATCCAATTATCTTTGAATCTTTTTACATCCTACATCCTACCTGTGAGCAAATCCTGTGGGGCCTCATTTTGTCTCTTACTGTGAGTAAGATGGCACCACAGGAGGGCTTGATCAGGGGAGGTGATCAGACTCAGGTGCCCCCAGGGTCCCTCTGGTTGCGTGTTGGAGCAGATGGTAGGAATGGGGAGACCTGGGAGGAAGACACAAGAGGGTGGACAGACTGAAGTGGGTGCAGTGGAGGAGGGAGAAAGGGTTTATGTGAAAGTTCAGCTGACAAGATCTGCTCACGGAGGTTGAAAGTGGGTGTGACAGAAGGAGGAAGAGAGATACCTCCCCAGAACACCCATAGCATTGGTGTGGGGAGCCATGAGTTAACATAAGTATGATGCAGGAAACAGTATGTGACACAGTGTGAACCTGTTTGCTTTTATTATTCTGTTTAAACAGAATTAAAATTAATACCTTCCTTGCAGAATAAAATGAGTTAATTTATGTAAAATCTTTAAAATAGAACCTGACATGTGTTGCTCAATAAATGTTATTACTATTGTCTGTGAGCACCCCTAGATATAAAGAAATGCATCCTTGTAAAGTGCTTGGAACGGTGCCTAGAACACCAGAATTCAGTCTCTGATACTTATCTGTTCATTGGGGTAATAACTCCCTCCCTCCATCCTCTCGGGTGTGTCTCTCCAGGCCTAACCCTGGCCCCCCGGCTCTGGGCCACCCGCCCCATGGCCACCCTGAACCAGATTCACCGCCGCGGGCCTCCGAAGTGGCCATCTCCCAGTCCAGGTCCCACCGAGGGCCGGCCGCAGCTGAAGGGTGTGGTTCTGCGCACGTTCACCCGCAAACCCAAGAAGCCCAACTCGGCCAACCGCAAGTGCTGCCGCGTGCGGCTCAGCACAGGCCGCGAGGCCGTCTGCTTTATCCCCGGAGAGGGCCACAGCCTGCAGGAGCACCACATCGTACTTGTGCAGGGCGGCCGCACCCAGGACCTGCCAGGCGTCAAGCTCAAGGTTGTGCGTGGCAAATATGACTGTGGTCATGTGCAGAAGAAGAAGTGACTGCCAGGGCCACGCATGCTGGGGCGCATGTGGAACAAGAGCCTTCCTGCAGTATCCTTGGGAAGTCGCTGGTCCTGGTTCAAATCCTGTTTCCACCTCTTCCATCGGAATCACCATCAGCCCCTGGGGGTCCTGGGTGTAAATTGGAAAAAGGTGCCCTCTGCCAACACTCTGGTGTCCACGTACAGAGTGTTGGTGCAAGGGGCCTCTTCCGCTGTGACTGTACACTACCACCATCTGATGGGAAGGGCTTGTAATAAACACAGACCCTGTGGTTGTGATGTGTACGCCTTGCCCGTTATTCGCTCTCTGTGGTCTTGGAGGCTGACATCCCCTCTGGGCCTGTGTTTTCTCCTCCACTCACATCATTTTTGTTGGGTTTGGTGAAGATTAAATTAGACACTACATGCAAAGCACATGTAGATGGTTACATAACTGTTTGAAGCTTTGGAATCACAGACCTGGTTCCCCTTGGGGGTGGTGGGGCTGGGAAAGGAAAGCCCCACCCTCAAGCTTCCTCCTGAAGAATGGCAGTAATTGTAATGGTGAGGAAGGGACATTGAAAGGATTAAATGGGGTGCACTGCTTCCTAAGTGGAAGCTTCTCTGTTATTCTCAGACTCAGCACTCGCCTGGCTTCCAACCCTGCCTCTAGCCCTTAGCTCTGTGGCTTTGGGTTTATTGGTTCTAGTCCTTGGGCCTGTTTCCCCTCTTGGAAATGGTCCTGAGAGTAATACTGGCCTCGCCTGACCATGTGCTTGGCCACCACGGTGCTTATATCCTTGAGTTCTGGAGCCCGACGCCTGAGCAAGCCCTGCCTCTCCTGCTTGCTGGCCAGATGACCTTGGGCAGGTCACTATACTCCAACTAAATGGCTTCAATTACGGTGCCTGACTGAGCTGTTTGCAGAACTGGTGTGGGAGCTGCTCAGTGTTGCCTGTAGCCCACCTCGGTTTCCAGCACGGCATTTAACACGTCTCCTAAAGTTCTCATGATTTCCAGGAAGTTCCCATGAGGCCTTTTAGGATCAAGGTGGGGGGCAGATGAGTGCACTGAGTACAGACAAGGGTCCCCCACAACCTCACATTTAGCACCAACTTTATTGAGCTAGTTTGGTGGCTGTGCCCAGCTGGAGGAAGCCGGAGTCGGAACAAGAGAGCTTTCCTTCACGGCAGGCCTTGCTCCTGGAATCTGTGTGCAGGTGGGCTCAGAGGAAAGGAGGGTTTTGTCCTGCAGGAGGCAAGCTGCCCCTGAGTCAGGGGCAGGAGGTGGGAGTGGAGGACGCTTGGGGGTCAGCAGGTACTCCGCCTCAGGAATTCTGAAAGAAACAGTGCCAGTGTCGCCTAAGGGGAGGTGCCGATGGGCAGTGGAGGTCTCATGGAACCTACAGCTGAATCTCAGAGACTCCCTAAAACAGAAGGGGTTTCCTTAGATGCCCCATTGATCCTCTCAAGGACAGGCTGCCCCAACTGGCTTCTGCTCCCCGCCAGCAATCAGCTTACCCCGGAAACATGCCATCAAGATTCATTGTCCCAAGTTGTCGGCAGCTGTCCCCCATTAGAAATCCTGGTTTGGCCTTAGTTTTTTGACTCAGTCTGCCAGCTGACATCCACATGTGAGAGAAAACAATTTGCAGGCAAGGTAAAAGTCTCAATTATTCCTTGAACTCCCCTGACTGGAGAAGCCGTGAGCAGCCTGGTTGGACCCCTGGTTCCTGGAACAGCATGTGGGCCACTGTGCTGAAGCAGCAGAAAGTGGGGTTCGCTGGGGGCTGGCCAGGAACAGGCCACAGGGAACCCCCCCACGCTGTCCCTGGGCATCCTCTGGCTCCCAGCTGCAAAGGCGCCCTTGATTGGCATTGATATCCGGCAGATGGCAGTAGGTCCTGCAAGGCCTGATCCGGCTGGCGGGCTAGGACAGGCGGATCCGAACCCTCACGCTGGAGTGTGTCACAAGGGCGCCGGAGCGCCCCGTGCCCGGAGCGCCCCGCCCAGGCACGTGCGTCTCTCCCGTACTGCTCAAAAGACACGTAGCGGATGCCCTTGCCAAAGCTGGTGAAGACGTGGGAGACCTGAGTGGGGAAGGAGAGCCAGACGGTGAGGACCTGTGGGCTCCTCTTCCTCCTCCTGGACAGATGCTCCCCGGCACTGAGTCGGGGCCAGCCCCTGCTCTAGGTACTGGGAATACAGCAGTGTAGAAAGCAGCACATAGCCCCTGCCCTGGTGGAGATGACTAGTAGGGGACACAGGCACTGAGGATAGATGGGGGTAAGAGGCAGAGGGGATTCTGCAGGAGGGTGGGGTTGTAAAGAGCGAAAGCAAAGTCCCCACTGGGGTGACA